CCTGAAGCACAGGGGTCCGGTTTGTTTTCTTCACCGGTATTTCCCAGAGTGCCCAGAGCAGTGCCCGCATGTTAGGCACTGGATAAATAGTAGGTGAGAAAACAGGCTTTGCTCGGATTCCCCAGACACGTGACCAGCTGGTGGCAAGCCAGGCCTGGCACTTCTCCGTCTGCCCCCAACACCATCCCACCATCCTTCGGCTTCACATTCCAGGCGGAGGCCCTTCTGTCGCAGGCCAAGGTGAGTCTCAGTGCCCAGCCTTGCCATTTGGCCTCCTCCTTCCCACAATAAACTCATTCAGTCTGAGGCAACGGGGACTTGATCCTTCCCCGTCCTGAAGGGCGACCTGGTGTTTTAAAGTGTCCGTGGAGACCATGCTTAACCCCGAGGTGAGAGGCATTTCAGGCAGCAGCTGGAGGGGCTGAGCGGGCTGCTGATGAGCCCAGAACCCAGCAGGGCCTGCACCCCTACAAGGAGGCTCAGACCAGGCCTTGTTGGGGACTTCCCCTCTGTCTCCTCACACTCCCAGGATATCCCCATCAAAGATTCTACAACTTTGGAATTCTGAAGTCCCGGAATCACAGAATTCCAGGATTCCAGAGCCACAAGTCTCCCTCTGTCCTATGAGGCCTCTCAGCTCACCGTGACCTAGGTCCCAAGCCCTAGCACCCAGCCCTGGAGAAGGGTCCCAAGGCTGTAGAGAAAAGGTGGTCCCAGCCCTGAGCCTCCACCCCGGGCACTTCTTGGGTAGCTGTAAAGCCATTTCCTCCCTCTGCCTGGGAGGAGGATGGGCGGGCTGTAAAAGTTCAACTTGAAAGGAAACATTCCCCAGAAGCAGAGGGGATTTGCAGGTTTATGACCCGAGCTTCCAGAGGCCTGTGGAGATCAAGGCTGCTGCCCAGGCTTCGCTGCCTGCATCCCCGTCTGCCAGGGCCCACAGTGGGCTGCTGCCCTCTGGGCCTGCAGCAAGGCCTGCTCCGCCCCAGGTGGGGAGGGGGCCAGTGGGAGGTTCAAGCTCAAGCTGCCTGGGGGCCCCTTCTCGGCTGAGACCCCTGGGATCAGGGGCCGCCTTCACAGCGGCCAAGATCAGAATCCTGGCTTCTCAAATCTTCCTACTCAAGAATCCTGGCTCAGGAACCACTGGAGATTATACAGGCTCTTGTGTTCCAATCTAAATCCCAAAATTCCAAGATCCTGTGGGCCCTGAATCCTGTCCCAGATAAGACTTGGCTGAGCCCAACTGTTTCACTGCCAGTCCCCAGAAGGATGGGGCAGGGGGGCTAGGCTCTCCCTAGAGTGAAAATGCCTTCTGCATGGGGAGCATGGAAGGGACTGAGTCTCCCCGTTCCCTGCTGCTGCCCACCCCATGACGGGGCTGGTTCAGAAGCAGCTCCACAGATGCTGTACACACTCCACCCCCAACATCATCTAATAAAGTCCAAAACAGGGCACCCCGCCCCCCGGCATGACTCACCGCCACTTCGCAGAACTGGCCGGAGAACCTTGTGCTGCAGATGCATTCGTACACCCCACCGGCTGCCCGGCAGGTGCCCCCGTTCAAGCAGGGGTTGGCGTCACAGGAGATCTGACACCTGGAAGGCAGAGACGAGGGCGGGGTGGAGAAAGTTGGTCCCTCCTATGCTTGTTCCCCAAGCTGCTTTATTTAGCATCTCAAACCCCGCTTCTTCATCTACTGTCCCCACACACTACCCCTGCCTAGCTGGGCCCTGCCGGGTGACAGAAGATGAATGTGATCTCCATCGCCCGCCACTTTGCTTCCCCAAGGCATTCATGACTGAGCACGCCTTGCTCCACCAGAAGCCCAGGGGAGCCTGTCTAAAGGCCCACGGGTGCTGAGCCCCTGTCTGGAGCAGGCCCAGGACCTGCTCCTGCACAGTCTCCCCAGGGGGTCCTGATGCAGGTGGGCTAAACGAAGGGCTCTAAGAAACACCACCAGACAACCGCTTCCTCGCAGGTGCCTGCAGAGCAGAGGACAGTCCTGGAAGCCCCAGAAGGAAAGAGCTCAAGTGACAGAGATGGACTGCCTGGCATTGTGACAACAGCGAGGCCTCAGAAGGCGAGCTCTCCACTTCACCCGTCATGCCCAGCTCTCCACACTCACCGGCTTCCCTCCCAGACCTCAGTCCCCAAACCCACCTCTCTCCAGCAGAGCCCTCCTGGCAGCTGCAGTTGGCTCCCCGAGGTCCACCATCACATGGGATGCCATTGAGGCAGGTGAGGTTCAGGCTGCATTCTTCAGGCAGGACAGGCAACCTGGGGAGAGAGCACAGAGGCTGGACTGGGGGCGGCATGCCTGGGCCGGGCCCCCTCCCCTAGCCCTTGTGACCACAGGCCACCTGCGCCTCTGTGTTGTCATCTGTGTAATTCAGACCTGGGTATCAGTCATGAAAGTGGTGTCCCAGGTGGAAAGGATGGGACTCAGGGCTGTCACTCTGCTGCTCCAGCCCCAACCCCAAGGTGTACGGCCTCCAGACCCAGGCTGGGCCTCGTTCCCACCACTGAGGCCTTCGGGAAGCTGACAGAATAGGACTCTCGGAACAAAAGCATGCTCCTGAGCATAAAACTTGGGCCTGATGTTCCTTGCAGGGCAGACGGGGAAGGCGGGACAGCCCTCCATAATCTTGGCTCCAAAGGGAGTGGGCATCAAAGACTGAATAGGGGCCCATCTCACTCTGCCCCGGACCCATGGCACCAATGGGGGTGAACATCAACGGTGGGAGGCTGGGCAGGCAAGCCTCAGTCAGGATTTTCTCCTAAGACCAGCTCTGGGTTCCCCACCCTCCACCCCCAGACAGGAACCCTGTTTATCTGAAATTCCCATTTATCTGGGTGTCCTGTATTCTATCTGGCAAGTCTAGGGGACAGTGGTTCCCGTTTCACAGATGAGGGCACGGAGGCTCAGAGAAGAGAGGCGGCGGCCTACAGATCCAGCGCATCTGCAACCAGATGCCCTGCTCTGGGATTCTCTGCTCCACCCGCTGCCCGAGGGGGTGGTCCTCCCCTCCCCTTTCCCCTCCCCTCCTTCCTCTCGCGCCCACACCCCCC